TACGTGACGATAGAGTGTTCGTATAACAACTATCAATTCAATATTTGTTCCAGAAGAAAATCAAGTTAATGCCAGCCAATATGGTAGCATTTTAAAATAGAATTTTAGAAGTTTGACCCGAAAAATTTACAATTGAAAAAATGACAACTCATTTTTTCAGAGAAACAGCAACAAAAATAATAATATTCCTTATTTTGTAGTCAGTCACAGAAAATGGCTACTCTTTTACTTGTCATCTTGAAAGTTGAGTATGAATCTGAAAGAAATACAAGCTTTTCTTTTCCTCAATCTCATTCTATACCGATGAAAACATGGATTATTGTGTAAACTGAAATAAAGAGAAGAAGAATTATCAAATACAAAATTATTGAAAAAAATACTATGCGAACTGAACCATTTTTCAACAATACAGGAAACTTGTGTCTGAGAGAACTGTTTTCTACGTAATCTTCATCCAACAGTTTATAGTACATCTATTGAAAGATCACTTCCTATTGAAGTTTACGAAGATGCAGTTGAGATGACTCCCTGACACTTTACGCCTCTAATAAAAGTCATGATTCTTCTGTAATCTGTAACTAAAGCTTTTCTTTTAATCAATGACATCAGTATATGAAATATTTTCTTACAGATATTTTTTATTGATATTGATCAACACTTCCGCATTATTAGCGGAGATTGTTTCTTTATCATCTATAAATATATATAATTAACTTCGTGTATAATTATTAAGATTATATAAAACAAACAAAAGCAAAGAAGTCTTTTTTGAGTCTACTCCATTTTGTTACTGCGACTCTTAGTGGTAACAGTAACACTTTCTCGCACATTGATGAACTTATAAAGATCGAAAAAATTGTTATAAAGTGGCATAAGTTCTACACGAAGTATGCCATCGCAAACATCGATCTAAAAAAGAAAGATATAGTTATTTGAGACTTAAAAAAAGACGAGTTGTGCAGTCTACCATAATGGAGACTTTCTCCAATTCATCATGCACCTATTGAGTCGATATTGTTGTCGGTAGAAGATAAATTAGAGCATTTTTTTAGACGGATTTCTAGGCGTGAGTGCTCTGAATAAACAAAATCCCTGGTTTAAAATAAGAAAAAAAGCTAAACGCAAGGATAAACTAGTTTCTGATACACGATGATACATTCTCTTTATTAACTCTTTTCATTGCCAGCAAAATAGATATCACACGATTGTTTAGTTGACGTTGTTCTTCTGAGTATTGCCAATGATTTGCATGATCGTCCTTTTGTAAGATTCTTTTCATATACTCTAATGTCAGTCTGCGGAGACCACTGATCGATCAAAATAAGAAATCGAGTGCTTATTATATTGTCTAGAACTTCTCGAATTCAATATTCTACAAGTGAGTTACTTAATTTCTTAGACTTACTGCAAGCTGTCACTACATTTGGTGCTGAAAAGCTTGTTTTTGTGGTTCGAATTCGACCCATCGGTCCTTGAGGACAAATGAAAACAGGACTAATCAGATGACCCTGTGGCGTGGATGATCGGCAGTACTGTGTAGGAATGCCTTGTGGCATTCACAGACTTCACTGACGAGGGAACCTCTTCAAGTAATAAATCGCTTTTCAGATGAGTCTTACCTTATTAGGTAGAATCTATTGAGGCTAGAAAAGCCCAAAATGATTCGTGCTCGTGGATCTTTCTTCTTGAGTTATGATCATTTTACCGATTATTTTCAATAAAATGCTGTGGTCCTGCTCAGGCCACCTTCAAAATCGATTTTCGAATTTCGACTTTAAACTTTGTACAAATAAAGTTCTCAATGGGACTAATACAGAGTGTCCAGAAAGTAGTGTCCTGCGGGAAAGACTTTTTCCCCTGATTTTCCCATTCCCATTTAGACTCAGGGAATGGGAACACGGGAATGGGAACAGAATTAAAAATTGACGTTCCCAAAATTCTTTCTATCTTATTTCAATACACATAAAAATATTTCTATCTGATAACTGTGTATTTTCAATAACTTTTCTTATTCATATACAATTAACACGAAGTATATATAGGAGAAGTCGAAGAGCGTCTCCGTCTGTTTAGACAATGGACAATAACACGTCAGTTAAGAAAAGAAGGTCAGACGAACAAGAAGGCATTGGTTAAGCAGGTGTTCATTCGTATATGCACTATACATTCAGGGTGGTGTTCCTTTTCATTAAAAACGTGTTCCATCGTCTAATAAGAAAATGTATAGTCAACATAGTGTTCATCATATAAAGAGAATATTCCTCTTACGGCAAAGTGTTTCCCTCCCTTCCCCCAAATAGAAAATAAAAAAAAAATTATAAATAAATATTAAGGTTATCTACAACAAAAAACAAATGATTTATAAATAAATAATCTCAATATTTGTCTATAATTTTTTTAATTTTCTATTTGGGTGAGGGGAGGGGAACACTTTACTATAAGAGGAACATTCTCTCTATATGATGAACACTATGTTGGACTATAAATTTTCTAATTAGACGGTGGAACACTTTTTTAATGAAAACGGACACCAGCTTGAATGTATATGTATAGTGCATATACTCAAGAACACCTGCTTAACCAATGCCAACAAGAACAACAAAACAGAAAAAGAAAAGAAGTGAAGCACTATGTAACAGCGTCGCGATGCGCAAAACGTGATGTCGCGAGAAACTGGTATACATATATGTCAATGACACTTTCGCATAGATGAACAGAGCCTTAGAAAACCTTATGGGAATTATGGGAATGGGAACAAAAATTTTTTTTTAGGGAATGGGAATCAGAAAAAGTCGTTCCCGCAGGACACTACCAGAAAGTAACAAAACAAAGGAAAATTTGAATACATATCTCTGCTATATTTTGACCAAATAGGCTAATATTTTTACCACTGATAAAGGAGTAGACATAGCTCATATTCATAAGGGAAACGTTATCAAAAATTGTTTTGAAGTAATACAACTAATGCCAACAAAAACTGTAACATTTTCCGAGTTGTGAAGCAAATAATATATTTATTCACTTAGCCAAGAATAAACGACACCTAATTTTTTCGATTAATCAATATGAATATACTGGAAAGAACAAAAAAGTAAGAGATGCGTGTCAAAGATGCATGACAGGAGAACAAAAAGAAATATTTTTAGCTTATTTGTAGAGTACCGTTACGGTATGGTATTATAATAGTGACAAGTTACGAAACACATTTCGTTGAAAAACATCTTAGTACTACACAACAGTAATCACACAAATAAAGCTTCAGCTTCTGAATGTCTAACAGAGTTTTCTCCAAGGATTGCTAAAATATCTCAAAATATAATAATCCAACAATTCAAATTCAGAGTGTTGGTTGAGTTGAGTTAGACAAAGATAAACTGTTCTTCCGTCTATTTGTGTATTATATAATAGTGGACTATCATACAGTGACGGGTCCAGAATTTCCAGTATGCTGGATCACAGCTTCAGAGCATGAGACTCAGATAAAACTTATGGCGGATGATATTGAAACCAAATGATGAGTTTTTATCAAAAAATTTTTGCAACCGGAGTTTGGAAAAAAAAACTTTTTCCTGAGTCCCTGAGATTTTTCTTTTGCTGTTAGTAGTATTCCGTTTTTTATGATTCAATGGTAAGTTACATTGCATTTCATCGTCAGATTTCAAATTTCATCTAAAAACATGGATCCGTTCGGATGTTATAACGTTTCGAATTTTTTCTACATGCTGCTTAAATTTTAGCAAAAATTCAAAACGTTATAACTCCTGAACGGATCCATGTTTTCAGATGAGATTTGAAATCTGTCGATGAAATTCAATGTAATTTACTATTGAATTCTAAAAAAAGGAATACTACTAATAGCAACAGAAAAATCTCAGGGGCTCAAGAAAAATTTTTTTCCAAACTTCAGTTGGAAAAATTTGTTGATAAAAACTCATCATTTGGTTTCAATATCATGCGCCATAAGTTTCATCTGGGTCCCATGCTCTGAAGCTGAGATTCAGCATACTGAAAAATCCTGGATCATAGATAGAACTGGTCTAATTTTTTTCAGACCGATATCGGCACCGATCCGGAATTTTTAGACCGGACTGGACTGATTGGTATACCGATTTGACCAGTCTACGGGTAGAATGATGGGCTACCGATAATATACCGATCTACACGCAATAGACCGAGTCCGAGAATGAAATCTCGCTCAATAGTGAACTGTTTTGAGTTATACTGGCATAATGCTTCACTATTGACAACAATAGTCTCATTGAGAGTGTTCTCTAAAACTATTTGTTAAACTAATTGTTACGTGATCAGTAAGATAAGGCTTGGTTCCACTTATTGTTTTTTATATGGATACGATCATGGATCAGGTAAGTGGAAAATTCAGACTGGTATAAATCGGTTTGGGCCGGCAAATACCAGTCTCGGTCGATTGATCGGTAGACTGATCGATCCGAAATTCAGACCAGTACCGATTCCATTTATGTTTTGGATTCGTCGCTGCTATTCCATATGACGTTGTTCATGTTTAAATATGACCATTTGATCTGTAAATATGCTTGCAGACTCAAATTCTTAACAGATGTCTTGAAACTTATCCTAAGTGATCATACATCCATAAGTAAGATCGATCACTTTTTCTCATTTAAAGTTCCATGGAGAAAAAAGCAACATATCACTACAATCAGCTCATCGAGCTCTACAAACTGGATATATCCAATTCGAAACTGAGGCTCACACTTGGGAATGTTCCATCATGAGCACACTGACTATAAATAAATGTACAATTAAAGAAAATTTTTAATATCACAGATCGAATGAATTAGAAAAACTTGAAAAATAGGTTTATTTTACAATAGTAAAAAAGAAATCTTCATCTTTCTTCAATTATAAATGACTACATATATTTAAATGCTCTTTATGACATATGAGCAGATTCTATTACTGTCTAAAAATTTGACATTCGAGATTTCACTATGAAAAAAGAAGATCATTTGATAAGAAAGTTATTGATCAGTTGACCATCCTTTAATATGCATTCGATGTATATTTCGCAAACGTGGTGTATTCGGTTGAATATCACATTCATCAAGAAATCGAGCAACTAATGTACTTTGATTTCTTAAACCAAACAATTCATTTTCAATTTGTGCACTGTTATTAAAATTGGATGACACATGCTATTTAAAAAAAAACAAGGATTTCTCATTCATTGAAAAGAATAAAAGCATTAATAGACCTTTCTCGGTGTTAAATTAGGTGTTTTTGTTACCGCAGATCGAGTAGTTTCACCTCCATTGTCACCGCCTAAGGCTTCAAGTTCCTCTTCAAGACGAAGAATTTTTTTGTAAACTTAATTATCAAAAAGAAAAAAAAGAAACGAAAAGAAAATTATTTATATAAATTAAAATACTAACTATCATTTGATGATGAAGTTTTTTCCAAGGTATTATCAGATGTTATCATGGTTGAATCAGCACGAATTTTCCAATTTTTATATGATTCAGGAGTTGCTTGAGCTCCTAATTTGAAAAAGAGATTTTTTTTTACATGAAAGTGTTTTTCTTTATTGAAATCAAAAAATAAATATACTTGATATCCATTCAGTTATTGTACTTGCAACAAATTCTTTAAATTTATCGGTTAAATTCATTCGTGAATCAGGACAAATATCAAAAAATGTTTGATAAACTGCTTGAGCCAAGTAAGATGCATAAGTCTTTAATAATGAGAAAAGAAATACAATGAACATTTATGATAAACAAAATTTTAAGACTAACATTGAAAAATTTATCTCGAAACCATGGATCAACAGAAAGAAGTAGTTCAACATAATTTTTAGAAATACGTGTAAAATATTTTTCACATTCATCATCAGCATCAGGTAATTTCTATAAAAAAATGAATTTTTCTATAATATATTCATTAATTTTAAAAATTTTATTTTACTATGAAATATTTTAAATAAAACCACCAAAATGCATCAATAAGTAAATATTGACTTGTATCACTTCGAATTATTTTATTCCAATAATAAGAAAAATTTTTCTAGAAAAAAATTATTTTATTATTTAAGACATATATAATACTATCAAATAACCTTAAATTTCTGTGCTTGAGTTACTTTATCTAAGATATCAATAACTTCAATGGTGGTATCCGATGCCCAATCATGATAAACATTTGGTTGAAAAGGTTTATAACGTAAATTTTCTATAGTTTTACGCTCTTTTTCATTTTCATCTGTTGCTACAGTTAAAAAGATTTGTTTCCGTCGTTTAAGTATAGCACTTAATTCACTGTTTGGATCGAGTTTATCAATTTCTGTGAAAGAAAAAAAATTACATAAAACAAAAATTAAATGTTCTTTTCCTAACCATCAAGTGATATACTAAATGAACGAGCTGCTTGTTTCATAGGTATAAAAGCATCATTTTCTTGTTTAAAAAATAAATTAGTATATTCATTCATAGCTGATTCACATTCTTTAAGACGATCTTCAATTGGTTGTAATACAGTTAATGTAGTTTTAAACATACTTGCAAAGTCCTATGATAAAATTGATAAAAATAAATATTAATCAATACGACAGAAATTATAAAACTACACACATTATAAAAATCATCATAACTAGCAGGAAGAATATCCGTTGTATCGACAAGAATAGGATCTGTTATTGGAAAATTATTCTATATAAAACTAAAATAATTCATTAAAATAAAATAATAAAATATATCTTACAATTATTTCACTATTACATAATTCATTAAATAATTCTAGCTTTTTTATTTTTGTTTGTTGATTATCCATTATGATCTGTACGAGAAATAAATGTACTCGATTTTGTTTCAATTTAAAAATTAATAAATAAAAGGCAAAGAAATTATTTTGTTTTTAAGTATAAAAAAAACAGAAAAATAAGAAGACAAGAAGAATTTTTTTCTAATCAGTCAATAAGAGAAAGTATCTTGTTCAATTTATTTTTCTATGCTGATGTATTTGTCATGGCTGTTGGTGTTCCACGTTGTCGTCCGATTTTAATCGCTGTTATAGTCATATCTTTTGATGTATTAGCTTGTTGTTGTTCTTGATTGTTGTTCACATGTTCAACAAGTTTAACAAAATGACTTCGTGATATAGCATGTTTATAACGAATTTTTTTACGAAATGGTTCACTATAACTCTATTTAAAATAAAGAAAACAAACAAATAAATAAATAAATATTAATTGTTTTTAGTTAATTAAACATTTATTTACTCCTTCAACATCTTCAAGTTTTAAATGCGCTATTGCTTCTTGTAATGTTAAGAGTATACAATTCCATGGAGAAAATTCTTCACGACGATTCCATCGAACAAATGTTAAACTATAAACGTCGGATTCTTCACTTAATGCCGAATGACTATCCCAAATATTTTTAAACATATATTCTATATCATTAGTCTAAATAAAGAAAAAGGTTCAGTAAATTATTTTTTTTTATTTTCAATAATTATACATAATATACACAAATGAATAATGACAAGACAATGTCAATTTCTCCTTTATTTATATAATTTCGAACGAATGTAATAAATCTTTTTAATAAAATAAATTATTCTTACCGTTAAAAAGAATATACAACGAGCTCCATCATTATAATCACATTCGTCTTTTTCAATCTTTTTAAATAAAAATCTAAATAATAATAACATGTTTGATTAAAATAATTTCAAAAACAAAGTTTTTTAATATCATACTTAAATTTAGTTTGATCCGTTCGTTTATTAGCAATATTTTCCAATCGAAGACATTGTCGACATTTACCAACTTTTGCATTAGTGCTACTAACAGAAAATTCTGTTGATGGATAATACTTTTGACAACTACGACAATAAAGTGTTTTTTGTTCCGTGGCGACGACTGGATCTTGTGGTACCTATGTAGAGTTTTAGATGAATAGATGATATATGGAGAGTTTTTCAAAAGTCACTATTCAAAAAAGAAGCTAAATTTGAATATCTTCCTTATAATTCTATTGGATAGACTAGTTTTTTTGTACTGGTAATAGAGAGTCCTTCCAAGTTTCTATCTATATATTCAAAATGCTTAATTACTCCTACAAAAGTAACAGTTTCAGGTTCAACACAAAATGAAGTCCTTTTTCGACTGCTGAAAAACAGTATGTAGAGTTTTTCTTATATTTTTTCAATTTTTTCATTACTACGGGTCATCGATTACCTAGGTCTGTAAAAATATGCCTTTGATACTTCTGAAAAAATTAGACACATTGATCTGAAATCAGGTAGATGTGAACACTCTAAACTCACGTTAGTTTATTCAATACACCTTTCTTCAAAGTTTTTGATAGAGGGAAAAACAAATGGTTTTGAAGAAATGTGCAAATCATTCTAGGTTTTTCACAAATGTCAAATAAATGTTTATGAAAGAAAAAATATAAGAAAAAGTCTGCATACTATTTTTCGAAAGTCGAAAAAAGGAATTGATTATGTGTTGAATCTGATATGGTTATTTTATAGGAGTACTTAAGAACTTTACACATATGGATAGAAACTTGGAAGTGTGCTCTATCATCAATGTAAAAACTAGTTCCTCTGATAGAATTCTAAGGAGGATATTCAAATTTATTTTTGGTATAGTGACTTTTGGTGACACCCTGAAAATAGAAATTCCAAATATTACTTTAAGATGTCGGACAACACCCGGATTGAATGTAGGTGTTTTAATATATTGAAGAAATAATGTTGAAATGCGTTGACGAAGACCAGATAAATTTTCTTCTTTTATTCCACGCATGAGAAGATCAGCTTCACGATCAATTAATTGAATTATTTCTTGTGTAAGACGACTATCATGTTCCTAGAAATCAATTTATTTATTTTTTTTTTTTGGTTCAATTATATTAAGAAAATTTTCTAATCGATATACTTTCACAGTATGTTTTAAAGTCAGAAGAATATCAAGTCGTTCATCAAGTGTTAAAAATTTCATGGTAATTGTATTGTAAATTTGCATTAATTCACGAGCACGAATTGAATAAGGTGTACTAATAAATAGAAAATATTTTTTCGATATTATTCTCGTAGATATTAAAAGATTTAATTAAAATCAAAAGTTGTATTTTGTATTCTAAAGAAATGTTTACTCTGATTTTTTTTTTCATTAAAAGAAGTTTGTTTAGAAACCTCGACTCCTTTTGTATAATAATTATTCTTGTAAAACTGTCTTTATACAGAAAAAGTCAAATAAAAAGCATTCTTTAACGTGATTATACACTGATCTCTGCAACTCACGTAGTAAGAAAATTTGAACACTAGAAACGTCTATCATATTGAAAAAAACAAATTAAATGTTACTATTTGAAACATTGACAATGAAATAGTAGACTAAGTATGAGTCAATTCATCAAGTGAATATACTTAGTGTCATACATTAATTCTGTTTTTGAAAGGAGAAAATTCTACGTAGATCATAAGGATTATAATTTAAGAAATTGTTTTTCTTTGACTTGGACTTTTTATGAATGTATTATTTTTTTGATTGCTTTCATGAACCATTCTGTTCTGACAGTTCTTACAAGGGAATGTTTTCAACTGATTAATCGCTTTTGAATTCGGATTCTATACATAAGAGAGTCTTCAGTGAAATATCAAAAACCTCAAAAACATAAATCTCCTTTAGGTCTTCTGTCCAGAGTTACAGGCATTTCACTAGAATTTTAGTCTCGACCATGGTATATACCAACAAATCAAATGACGATATTTTGAGCTGAGTTTTTGCCTATAAATAGATTTATTTGTCAGTACAATGTCTTGAAAATTTTAGCTCAAATGAATATTTCCTTCTCAAGATATCAAAGTTCCCAAAATTACTCATATTCGACGAAAGATGCTAGGTTTTTCTATTTTTTGAGACTTTAATATCTCAGGTCGAAATAGTATCATTTGATTTGTTCATATGTTATCCTTTTGCAATATTTCATACCTCACTGTGATCTACCTTATGCACTGAGTCCGAATTGAAAAGCGATAGATCAGTTGAAAACGTTTCGTCGTTAGTAAACCACATCTTAATTGATCTTTCACTAATTTTCTTTTTTACTATTCAGTTTACTTTCTGTCTGAATGATTCTTGACATAGAAGAGAAGAATTTGTATTAGAGTATAATTCATCGACAGTTCTAGCGATTTTCTAGGTAAAACTCTTTCCTTTCAAAGACAGAATCGATACACGACATTGATTATATCCATCAGACGTATTAGGTATCTAATGAATTATAAAATAATTCTAAGGTTTTTTTCACAACGTGAATTGATTATTTGAGTCACGCATAGTTGACTATTTCATTTCATATTTTATGATTAAAAAGAAAGACAAATATTATAAAAAGCCTAGAGGTTTTACAATCATGTGAAATCACACGGTGATGTAGAGAATAATTTCATTTTAGAAAAAACATCTTGAAAGATATGTTATCATCTGGACTTTCATTTAGTTTACTTAAATCAGTACAGAAAACCTGATGTAGATGGATGTTCTTTCCTTTCATATTGAAAGACTTTTTTGATAAAATCAATATATTCTAGAATAGTTTCTTCTTTTCACAGTAAACTAGAGAAGTTTTACTGCAATTTACAACAACTTACTCCATTTCTGTTGTTGAACCATCTTTGTATTTCCATCTTTTTGGTTGAGCAATACGTTCAAGAAAACGTTGTATATTAACTTCTTTATTATATTTTTGAGCTTCTGTTTTATATCGATCAATAGTTGCTAATAATTCTGTTTCTTCATCAACTAATAATGCTAATGCTGCTTTTCGAGCTATTTAAAATACATATATATATATATATATATTAATCATATTAATACTTTTCTTGATTTTCTCTTACCAGCACCCTGTTTTGTTGCATTTATTTTTGCTATTTCTTCTTCACGCCATTCTAAATAATAGAAAATGAAACTTATTGATTTAGATAATCAAATTTTTTACTTTCAAGTGCAGCATAAAGTACATCAAAATCATCTTTTGTTCTTGGATGTAAACGTCTATCAAGATCATGTTGATAACGTCGTTGTCGTTCATCTAATTGTCTTTGTTTTTCTTCTAATTCATATTGAATTCGTTGTTGAAATGCTTCTCTTAATGTATTTACATCACGTTTAGCTAACCAACGGCGAAAATATTTTTGTATTATAATTGCCTATTAAAATCAAAATAATATTATTTTCTTTCTTAAATCTTCATTTTATTACTTTTTTATTTAAAATTTCAAATCTTTCTTCAGCTGTTTGATAACGTTTTGGTGTTAATAAACGATCATTTTCAGTTGAAATATAATAACCAGGTTTACTCATTTGTGTTGATTGTTCATTTGTTGTTTGAATAACTCGATGTCGTGACTGAATTGTTTGTGTATCACGACAATAACGTATTATACCTTTATCGGGTCTTTGTGGTGGTAAAGTTTGAGCACTAGCATGATGATATTCTTTTCCAGTCATACGATGACGTACACCACCCAAATAAGGTTTACGAAAATTATTTCGTTCGATTTCAACAACAACATCACGACTCATATTTTGATCTAATTTTAATAAAAATAAAAATTTTTTTAATCAAAAATTTAAAAAGAAAAAAAGATTTTTAATACCTTCATCAATTCGAACAGTAATTACATCAGGCATAGAAATATCTTGACGTGGTTTATATGGTCGTAATGGTTCATTTAATGGATCTTTTGAATGTAATTCTAGAAGAAAATTTAAACAAAGAATAAATTTAGTTTTTTGATAAATTAACTAACCCATGCTAACGGTAGTATTTGGTTCAACTTCGATTTCTGAAAGAGTTAATTGATTATCAAGAACTTTTTCTAATAGACAAAAAAAAACCACAAATAAATATGAATAATATTGTTTTTTTTTTTTTTTTTATTTCTCTTACCTTTAAATGTTATTTGTAATATATTTTCTGGCATGCGTAATTCCTTAGCGAAATGTGTGATTAATTCACTTATTGGTGATCGAAGTGGAAAAGCAACTGTTACAGTTTGACCGATTGTTTCAAGCAACATTTTAACCGTTGCTAATTTAGTTTCTTGTTCTTCATTTGAATCTTTTGATTCATTATAAACATTATTATTACCTTCATTTCTATCATTAACCATTGTTGGCAGTGATGGTAATGGTAAATTATGTTCGTCAGACATTTCTAAAATCTTTAAAATATTCAATTGTATAGAAAATCTATTGAACCATTTAAAATGTTTATATCCTAGCAACAATCCTTTATCAAGATGTTTCATCTAGATGACTCTAGAATCGATAAATATTCGATTGGATAAAATCAAATTTCTCCCAAAATAATTTTGTAAGACGTATTTTTATTAATGTCAAGCATGGATAATTTGAAAGTATCAGGAAATTATGGACGTGGTAATTCAACAAAAGATATGTTACAAAATTCAGTAAATGATATTATTTTATTTATTTATTTATTTATATTTTTATAATCATAGTCGAATTCAAATCCACCAGCACCATCAATAAATATTAATAATAATTTAAATGTAGCTAGTGGACGTGCTGCACAAGTTTTACGTCAAATAAAGTTAGTTACACAAATGATTTATTTATTTATTATTTTTTTGTATTATTATTTCTATTATAGACAATCATCTTTATCAAACTCATCAAAAGATCTGTAAGTTTTCTTTTGAAAACAAGAAAAAAAATATATATAAAGAAATATTTCTTCTTTTGATCAATAAATGATTAAATCTTAGTTTAGAAAATCAATTATTTATTCGTTGTACAATAACTCAATGGTATAAATATTTAGTTGAATTTCAACCAATAATAACAAGTCGAACAACTCGTTTTACAATGATTAATCATCTATCAAAATATCTTGGTGATTTACATAAATTATATGATGGTCAATTTATTTATGTTTCACGTCAATTATTAAAAGAAGTAGAAAAAAAAAAGTTTTTTTTTATTTTTATTTATAAAGAAAAAAAAAATATTTTCTTAAATAGACTTTTATTTTTAATAATACAACAATAAATACACCAAATGAAGTACGTATACAATATATTGAAACAATTAATATTGAACAAATACCAATTGATCTGATTAATGTTCTATTTCGATTGTAAGTTAAATTTTTTAATATGAAAAGCAAAAAAAATGAAAAGAAATTTTTTAGAGCAATTGATCAAGGTCGAGAATCAATTATGAATTCAACAAATCGAAATGGTGGACATCGACAAAAGTAAATTCATAAGAAAACTAACAATAAAACATACCCAACTATTGGATGTCGTTCGATTTCAGAATTTGGCTATGAGTTGGACTTAATGAAACTAAGAGAACTCTAAAAGGGTTTGGATCCAATTAAAGTTACGATCGTTTTAACGAGTTTTCAGTCTCTGAGTCAGCTATTCATGGAAAACTCAATGATAAGATTTTATTCATAGACAGACCTCACGGCTATTAGAATATCTCAAGAATTCCAGCTCAAACAAATGTATTCTACTTTAGATATCGAGTGTTTTTAAATGTTCGATATCTAAAGAGGAATACGTTTGTTTGAGCTGAAATTTTGAGAATATTCTAGTGGCTATAAGATCTATTTAAAAGTAGTATTTCAGATAAGAATCTCATAATTGAATTTTCCATGAATATTCAGTCAGAAGACCGAAAAAATACTAAAATTGTTACAATTCTGGCTGGATGATGCATGAATCTGAATTCATTTAGGGTTTTCTTAATTTCACTGGATCCTTCTCATTACCAAAAAATAGGATCGGGCGACGTCCGACAGTTAGATATATTTCCTCGTAAGATTTGATTATTTTATTTAAGAGTACGTCATTGGAATGGTAAAATTGTAAATATTGAACGTAAAGATGATGGAATATTATTAACTATTGATTTTGTACAAAAATCATCAACAACATGTTATGAAGAATTGTAAGATTTTAATTCAAAACAAACATAAAATAATAATAATAATAATTTTATTTAGAGAACGTTTTTATATGTCAACATGTGGTGATGATTATCAAGAATCTGCTAGAAAAGAATTAATTAATAAACTTGTTTTAACACGATATGATAATCGAACACAACGTATTGATAATATTGATTTTCAACTTACACCAGCTACATTTACATTTAATGATGATTCACAAACAACATTAATTGATTATTATTTGTAAATTTATTTATTTATTTTTTTTTTTGAATTAAGAAAAAAATATATAGAAAATTATTTATTATTATAGAAATAAATTTGATATGACAATTAAAGATCCTGATCAACCATTAATTGTTTATTGTCCACGACGACCTGGTGAAAATACTGTACGAAATAAATCATTTCATTATTATTTCGATTTAATATGAATTTTTTTTTTCAATTTTTAGACAAATACAGAAGTTAATTATCTTGTTCCAGAATTTTGTTATTTAACTGGTTTATCTGATCGTGCACATCGAGATGCTCGAGTAAGAGAATTATTTTTTTTAATAAATAAATTTATTTTTATCATTCTCTTCTATAGGCACGAAAGACACATAATCTCATTCCATTAAATTCAGCTGGACGTCAAGCCGAAATATCTCATTTTCATCATATGATTCGACGAAATATTGCAACAGTTAAATATCTTGCTTTATGGGGTATTAATATTGTTTCAACGAATATTTCAATACATTCATCTATAGATGAATCATATCGAGTATATTTAAAAAAAAAGAAAAAAAAAATACATATGATTTTTATGAGATTTATTCTTTTAGAAAATTTCTTATAATGATGTAGTACTTGAAGATGATGAAGAAAATGAACAGAAAGATACACAAGATAATGATCACTCTTATGGACATTTCACGAATCCGGTATGAAAAATTTTGTCTTTGAATTATATTTGATTATAATTAGTTTTCGACGATCATCAGTTGAGATTGGCTATCAATTTCATCCTCTTGGATCATCAGGACACGTTATTGTTCGACTACTCTTTCTTACTTAAATATTTATATATTCATGAATGTGAACATAGATACAAAAAAAAAACCATCTAAGAATGATTGGAAGGAAATGGAGTAAACTTTCAATTTATGCCTATGGGCCCTCTTGTATACAATAGGAATTGGAATTCATTGTCCTAAATCTATTTTGTCAATCAGATTAACATAAAATTGTGATTCTCTTCGAAATTTGACTGAATCCTAATGTTTCTGATAACATAAATAAAAGATGTCTCATAAGCCTTGGACCTCAACAAAAATTAGTTTATATGCGAGCAAAGAGTAATCCCTACCGGACTATATCTATATGAACTTCGAGTACTTAGGACAATGTTTTAAACAGCATATTATCCAATGATCTCATTTCTTTTAATCATATTGATATAAACAGAAGAAACGAGATAATTAAAATCTTGAAATCGATCAGTATTTTTTTAAGAAATTTTAATGAATTATGAATTCATCGTATGTAACGTAACACACGGGTGTGAGTATTGGTATCTTCTGTACGTACACCCTAATTATGACTTTTCTTCTGTTTATATCAATATTATTAAAAGACATAATGTCATCAGATAATATGCCATTAAAAAACATTGTCTTAAGTAGCTGAAGCTAACATAGATGTAGTTGGGTAGAGATCATTCTTTGTTTACATATAAACTAATTTTCGTCGAGATCCACAACTTATAAAACATCTATTATCAATATAGGGTGTTTGAAAAGTTTGTAGAAAAAGTAAACATAATTATCTCCTTTAAAAATTCAACTGATTCGATTATCGTTTTTTAATAATATGAAAGTGTGTTTTTTGAAGTTTTGTTGAATAGATAATTTAATTGAACAACAAATATTACTAATGATTCCTATTAACTAAAATATATAAAGACATTACTTTCAAGAGATAAAAAAAACACGATAGAATTTTCATAATCAGTTCTCATTTGAAATTAAACCTGATCATTTAAAAGCATTCTACCGACATTAATTTAACTGAAGCATATTAATTCATAATGCGATGTATAATTTGTCGTGAAAATCAGCAAACTATTGCAATAAGGAAGAAGAAGAATATCCCTGTCTTTGCGCTACCGAACGCTGCCTAATGGCAGATTCAATAGCCCAATATCTTCCCTACACCTAATATTAAGTGTAGCTCTGAATAGAACAGCCGACTTAACCCAGAGTTCTTGTACTCAATGGCTTGAGTTGTTCATACACATTAATTGACCATGTATTAGTCACACGAGCAGGTATATGTCACAATATAGTCAGCATGCTATCAGACAACTTATCCTAGACAAAAAAGCGTTGGTGACTTGTAGTATCGAAGTTTGGACATAGTACCTTGTGATTATCTATTAAACAACGTAGCCATAGTGATCGTCTTTGAGTTTTCTTTTGTAATATCAGAAGTTTTTTGAAAATATTATTGATTTCCGACGATATCAATTTCACAACATTAGTGTAAATATCTTTACTATAGTCTACATCTAATCTTTTCTTGGTCTAATTCAACTAGATCAGTAGAAATGACCTGGATTTGATCACGAATAAAGATGATCTTATTTTAATGTTAATAAATAGAAATATTTATTGAAAGATATGTTAAATAAAACTTCAAAGAACTTACTATTATATTATGAGAAAAGCAATTAAATCTCTTGAATTCTATAAGATATATTTATTTGAATTTGAAGATTGAACTCACTAATTGGCTATTAATTTATCCAAAAGTTGACGAAGACCGAGCATCAATCTATGTGAATATGCTTCGACAAGTAGGTCAACAACAAGGAATGCCTATTAATGAGCCCATTCATGTAAAAATGGATGATGATGAAACAGACACATACGCAAATGCTCTTCGTAGTAATCTCAGTGAACAAGTAAATTGCTTTGACTTTCATTAAAATTTCTTTTTTATTCAAAATTTTTCTTTAGATACAACTCGTTTCATTAATTGTTAAATCACGTCGAATTGATCGTTACAATACAATTAAACGTATCTGTTGTATTGAAATACCAACTCCGACTGAAGTAAGAAGATTATTATTTTAATTCTATATTTAAGTTTTTTGTTTTTTAATTCTATATATATATTTAGATTGTTTTAAGAAGTACAATTGCTGATGATGATATTCTACCAAATGTTGCATTGAATATTGCT